TGGATTAGAAAACAGGATCTGTCAATATGCTGTCTACAAGAGTCATTAAAAAAAGATGGTGGTGATTATGTGCTGTGGAGTTGACTCTGACTCATAGAGACCCTGTAACAGGGTTTCCGAGGCTGTAAATCTTTACAGGAGCAGAAAGCATCATCTTTCTCCTGTGGAACAGTTGGTAGCTTTGAACTGCTGACCCTGAGGTTAGCAGCCCGATTCATAACCACTACGTAAATGCCCATCAACAGAAGAATGGTTAAACAAACTTTGGTAAATACACAAAATGGAATATTACATAATGTAGAAGAACAACGATGAATCTGCAAAACACCTCACAACACGGATGAACCTGGAGGACATTATGCTGAGTGAAATGAGTCAATCACAAAAGGATAAATATTGTATGAGACCACTGTTGCAAAAAGTTAAGGAAAGGTTTTCTTGGTGAAAGAAACATTTTATGAAGGTTATAGGGGAGTGAAGAAGGAAAATTACTCATTAGACACATGCTAACATGTATATAAAGGAGCTCTGGTAGCGTAGTGGTTACTAATCAGGCTGCAAGCCTCAAGGTCAGCAGTTCGAAACTACCAGCTGTTCCGCAGGAGAAAGATGAGGTTTTCTGCTCCCGTAAAGATTTACAGTCTCGGAAACAGGGTCACTATGAGTCAGAACCGACTCCACAGCACAAAACCACCACCACCAACATGTATATAATAAGAGGGAGGCTGGCCAAGAAAAGATGAAGGTAGCAGGAGATACAGGGAGAAACACATGAGTTTAAATGAATAGAGGTAAATACATTTAAGGGATGATACATGGAAGGAATCACAATCATTGTAATGAAACAAAGTATATGATTTGTTGAATGTAAAACAGACGATCTGCTCTGTAAACCTTTAGTCAATTCACAATAAAAAGTTAACAAAGAATAAAAAGGGAAGGGGTACATTTAGCTTTTAGAGATAGATACTGAAGTATCTATTGATAAAATGGTATCTAGCATCTGTTTCAACAGACCAGTATTTAGGGGTGTGGAGGGCAACAGGAGAAGCAAGAATGACCATCTGATCACAAATGAGATCCCAATACTATTCTACTTGGATTGTTGTTGTTGTTGTTGTTGTTGTTATGTGCCGCGGAGTTGGTTCCAACTCATAGCGACCCTGTACAGGGTTTCCGAGGCTGTAAATCTTTACGGGAGCAGAAAGCCTCGTCTTTCTACCGCTGGGTAGTTTCGAACTGCTGACCTTGCGGTTCGCAGCCCGATTCATAACCACTACACTGCCAGAGCTCTTTATTCTACTTGGATATGGATATGTTTTCTTTTTTTTTTTTTAATGTGTTTAATGCTATTACCTGGTGTTGTAGGGCAAGCACTGGAATGCTAATAACCACAAGGTCAGCAATTCAAACCCACCAACTGCTTCTTGAAAATTACAGGGGTCACTATGAGTCAGAACCAACTCAACAGTACTTAACAACAACCACCTTTTAAGTTTATGAAAGGTTTCCCATTTGACTCAGTGAAAAAAGCAAAATCCTTTCAATAACCACAAAGGTCCTATGTGAGCCCTCTCCTCTCCAGTTAATACTATAACCTCCCTTCCTTCTAAGCTTCTCCCTCCTTCTTTGCTATATGTACTCTTCCCATGTCAGAACTTAGCAATGGCTGGTCTCTCAACATAGAATGAATTGTCTCCAACCAGACATCCACACAACTTCCTCACCTTCTCACTGAAGTGTCTTGTTTTACAAAAGAAACCATCTGTTTTACAATTGCAGCTCAGCCCTCTTCCTCAGAACACCCAATCCTTACACCCTATGTTTATCTTATCCATAGGACTTATTCTCTTCCAACATACTATATATTTACTTATGTGTATTATCTTTCCCTTGTCACTAAAAGTTAAATTACCAGAGACAGGGAGTTTTTGTTTCAGGGAATTTTTATTGAGTGACTAGAACAATGGCTGCATGCAACACGCACCCAATAAACAAAAGTAAAATGAATGTAGAAAGTTTCAGAACTACTTATAAGCCTGAGGCAAAGGAGGAGGTAGAAGTCCTAGGCCTTTGTACGAGTCTTCTCTTCAGTAGCTAGGACCCATCTACTCCTACTCCACTCTCATGCACTAAACAAGAAATCTAGGGCACCAGATTTCTGAGGAGGAGTGAAGAATTTATACATAGCTCTTCAGAATTATTGCCCTCCTCCCCAACCTCCAGGGAGAGATTTCATAACTTGGATTTGGGACATTCAAGGCTATCTCCAGTTATATCATATAATATCACAAAATTCTCAACCAAACTCATGACAATGTGTGGCATTTCTAAATGAAAAACTTCTAAAAATTGAGACTTGGTTATCCAGTGGTTTTAGGAAATTTTAGGCTTTGGCAAAAATACATCTTTTTAGAAGGAAGTCTATGGCAAAAACAAATGTCCAGAATCAGTTCTGTGATTAGGAAGAATGAATGTAGGCATCAACGCCTAATTTAGACAGACTTTGTGCCATTTGTGTGTGTGTGTGTGCATGAGGCAATTTTCCAGTAGGTTTATTATCCCTTCCTGCACTTCAGCTGTCTGCCCTTACTCCTCTGTACACGGCACAAACTAGCTATGAACCTTAAACAACTTGTCTTGGCCAGGTGTCTTATGATCACAAAAATACCTTTGTGTGTGAGAGAGAGTGAAAGAGAGAGAAAGGTCCACTCAGTACTCTGAGATGAGAAACAAAATCTTGGGAAATCAGATCAACAGTAGAATGAAACCTCACAAAGAATGTGTGTTGTTTTTTAATTGGTAGCATAAGTATCTGCAAGTGTGCGTGGGAAAGGGATGATCCACATCTCCTTTTACAATGCTATTAACCCAAGAAAATACTGTTTGATCTAGTCAGGAGTGACTGTTGACAACATGTTGCAGTCTATCGCATAGGTGACCTTTCCTGAGCTCAATCCAGAACACAAGCCCTGGATAAACTGGCAGTTTCCTCAGCTTGTTTCCACAGACCCAGCCTCCATGGCTTATCATGCCCCAAGGCCTGAGCAAAGAGTGCCATCTGGAGGATTTGTTTATGAGAGAAATCCTTTTACAAAACTATGACCAACAAACTGGTCACCAACACAAATCCACATAAAAATCGGAGCCACTATCCAGTCACCTGATGGATTTTAGCTGTTTGCAGATGCCATTTAAGGAAAAACAAAAAACTGTGTACTTCCTTGTTACAACAATCTTAGAAAACATTGCTGGAATTTCCTTTCGAAAAATCATTTGTGTAGTTCTGACTGCCATTTGGGAAAGGGTTCCTTCTAGTTCATCCAGAGACCTACTGGATGAGTCCAGCCTCTTAAACTCCCCTTCCCCCCATAACCTACATGCTTCCTAAAAGAAAAAGATTTACTTCCGCTCCAACTCAAGTTCCCAATCAGAACAGTTACCCTCAAGGTGTCTATAAGAGCAGCCAGATCCAATGCCCATGTGCTCAACCAGATGTGTTGTCAACAAATCAGATGAACAGCCACTGGATCACCAGCTATCACTTGTCTTGACCAAGCAAGAAAAAGGAGGCTGCCCACTCAGGGTGTCAGGGCATACAAACTAGTTTCTAGTGGGGCACTGTCTCAAGCGACCGAGTCTACACATCCTAAGGACAGTGATGTAGTTTTCTGTGTTCGTGAGGTATGGGACAGAGTGGGGAGTGTGCTTTTCAGTTACAAGAGATCCCTCCCTCAAATTGCTGTCTGTCAAGCAACAAGAATAGCTTCCATGAACAAAAGAAATCTGCTCTTCTGTGTTAACTGTTCTGTGATGCATTCTAGTTCTGCCCTGACTTCCCCATTCTCTCAATTGCTGAGAAAAGAATGTTACCTGAAACTATCTGAATTCTCACAAAACAGATACTTTCTTCATTGTGGAAAATGGTCCCTCCCTCCTCACAGAAAGCCAGCCTCTCTACTAAAACAACAACAATTTTTTTTTCTGATCTCATCGTAGGACAGGCTGAATATTAGACAGAAAGCTTGTCATTAACCACAGCTAATTTTCTATAAAGGAAAAACCAAGTCTTCTTTTTTATTGGTTCTCCTATGACATCTAAATAGGAAAGAAAAACCAATCCGATTGACTTGATTAAAGGAACTGAGCCAAAACTAAAGAGCAGACAGTGAGGGCAAAGCCATCCATTGTGTGTGCAAGAGATTAGGAGGCTGAGGACTAACGATGCATGCCCACTTTACTGAAAACTTCCTCTGGTATCACCTGCCTCAAAAGCACATAAATACCACACTTCTCACCCTCTATTCATGAAAGGAATCCGTATTTTAGTAAGAAGACATACGATCCAGAATCCTAGCGCCACCCGAACAACCTTAACATAATATATACCTCCAAAGACTGCAAAAAATGAAAAATCACAAAACGTTGAACTGAAGGATGACCTACATAAAGGATGGCCAAATAAAGGATCAGCCTATAGAGCCCAAAGCTGTGAACTGTAGGCTCAGCAGCTCAAAACTACCAGCCACTCGTAAAGATTTACAGCGTCGGAAACGACGCCACGGCACATAACCACCACCATCACCAGAGAGCCCAGAAGTAGCATTTCATGGCCCATAGGCAGGGGGCTTCAAAAAGCTTGTGGGAAAAGATCAGGGAATTTTTCCATAAACTTTTTGAAGTTCCTTTGTACATTCTAGCGTAATACTGGAAATTAAAAACCTTTGCCATTTGATAAGAGACAGTGGAATTTGGGAAAGGAAAAGCACCAACCAAAAAAATTATGTTTTAGTTAAAGTAGCAAAAGTAAAGCCAAAAATATATACCTGAAGTTCTAGGAGTCCTGAGAAATCTGAGAAATGACTGGGCCATTTTAGGAGAAAGAAGATGACAAATAGGCTGTGGGATCATAAACTTCAATAAAAACAATGGCATGATAGGAAAGAAAACGGGTTGGTTTCTTTGGTCAAAGTTCCCAAGTAAGTAAAGACACTCACCCCTTAACTCTGAAAAGCATTATTTATTAGACAGAAATATTAAAGGAAGTCTCCTTGATTCCTGCAAGGCCAAATAAGACGCTCCTTATCCCCTCAAAAAATACCACACATGTGCTCACAAATTCTTGTCCCTGACTCTGGAAACATCCTGGGTCCTTTAGTCCAAGGCCAGGTCCTACATTTACAAGGTGAACAGTTCCCAAAAGGCCCTGGGAGCAGCATAAATTACTGCTGTCCTACACTTTCTTATTGGTGGAATGGGGCTACAAAGTCAATAAACTGAGGTGCTTCACTTCACATCTTAACATCCAGTTCTTCAATAAAGCCTCATGCAGACAGGAGGTAAGGTGTTCTTCTATAAATTTAAACTTCCATGATATATTGGTTGAACAAAACCAATGGGTGATTCTGAGAAGTCTTTAAAGGAGTAATTGTGCCAAGAGAGGACTCCACATAGTCGAGACAGGACTTCTCAGATGGAGCTACTTAATCTTAGCAAGGGCAGCTGCTCTTCTTTCTGTGTTCTGGAACAAGGAACGGATTAAAGCTTTTACTTCACTCGAGGAGAATGCAGCTGCTAGGGGCCCTTTTCCATCTGCCCACCTGCAAAACAAAAGATGAAATTTTATTTCCTCCTTTGCATCTGAAGCATAATCAAGATTTTAAAATTGCTTACTTGATCCCAAATGTTGCTACAAATGGCAACAGAAAGTCAGGGCATCCTCATTCCTCATGGGTTAACCTCTTCTGCTTTCTAACTGCCCGGTAGGTAATCGGCACAGATAGACTGCTCTCCCCATTCTACACTCACCATAGTCCCTGAGTGAATGTGGTTAATTATGCCCACATCCTCACGCCTTGGGCTCCAAAACTACTTTAAAAACGGAAGCACAAACATCACATACAATTGACAAAGGACTGTTGTTTAAAAATAAAGAATTCCCATAAGTCAATAATGAAACTACATACAATCCAGCAGAATAAAGGGCAAAACAATATGGATTGGCATGTAGAAAAGAAGAAACATGAATGACCAATGCAAAGATGCTCAACCTCACTAGAATTTGAGAGGATGCAAGTTAAAATGGCAAGCTACCATTTCACACCAATAACATTAGCAAACATTTTCATCTCTTTATACCAAAGGGTGAGAACATGATGCAACAAGATAAGAAGACTATAACACATTATATACTGGAATATAAAACAGCACTGAAAATGAACTGCAGGCAGTTCACTGTAAATGAATTTCAAAACGTAACACAAAACAAAATAAGTACATTACAGAAAGTTCATTTATAGAATGTTCAAAACAAGCAAGTCTAATCTTCACATTGTTTAGGGGCAAGTATGCATATTTATGTGTAAATGTGGTAAAATTACAAGAAGAGTAAGGAAATATATACCACAGAAGTGAAAATAGCAATTTACCTCTAGTGTAGAGCATTAGGACAGGGAACAAGGGTCTTCAACAACACTGGTAATATTATGTTTCTGAAGCTAAGAGCAAGTATGTGGACATAGATTTTATTCTTTTTAAGATGTGTACGTACACTACACATGCTGTCGTCTTTCACATGCTATTTTACAATTTAAAAATAGTTATTACTGAATTTATTTTACTTATAGTTAGTTACTGGTGTGGCACTGTAGGATATGCACTGGACTGCTAACCTTAAGGTCGGCAATTCAAACCCACCAGCCACTCTCAGAAACCCTATTCAGGGTTGCTATGACTCAGAACTGACTCGACGGCACTTAACAACGTAACAACAACATAGTTAAAGGAATCACGGGGGGTGGAGAATCTCCCAGAGCAGAATCATGAAGCTGAGGACGTACTCATCTATAATTTTTCAGATCATTCCTAGGCTGTTAGGAAGGCCCTTTAACAGCAGAAAGCAAAATTCTTATCTTCAACCTTCTGGAGTCTACTACCCAAAGACATCTTTCTTACCCACTAAGAACTTATAAATAACAAAAATAATAAACATCAAAAATTTGTACTAAATGGCATTTGAGGTATTTTGATGTGATTGTTGTTTTTTTCCAAGTAGACATCTCATTCGCATTGCTTTAAAATGGACAGCAGTTGATGAGAAAAATTCAGACACATATAGGCTGAATGGTCTAATACCACTGGACATCCACAGTAAAGAAAGATAAAGCAGGTAGACAGGAAGCCAAGTGGCTATAGGGAATGACGATGGGCCGGGAAGGCCTGATCACAATGAAACAGACTTTTCTCAACATGCACACTGAGTTTTGATAAGGGTGTTCCCTACACAAGGTATGCATACTCATCAGCAATCCAAGACAATAATGAAAGCTTTCATGGATCTCCAGATACACAGCCTCTATAAAAGGGGTATATACGCACCGATCTGCAATTTCTTGTAGGCTAGCTTGTAACAGTATCATCAGTTCTTTGAAAGGCATCCATTTTGGCACATAGACTGGAACCTCTTCTTGGTATTTCTTGTTCTTGTTTTCTTCAGATAGAGGTGCAAACACTTGGGGTCCTTCATCCATCACTGTTTTACATAAGGAATACAATCTATGACCATCTTCAGTAGAGATGTCCTGGTTTTGCACAAAGGGAACACAGCAGAAGAGAAAATGGGCCAGCTTAGTGGTAGGGAACGGGGGAATCTCTGTGCATGCTGTCCAGGTGGGTCCTCTAAAACAATAAGTTTTCCAAACAATTTAACACACCTTTCTAGACACTACGTTTCATCAGCTCTCTGACAATACCCCTAAAGCTAAAATGGCACAAAATATGTTCCAACAGATTGCCAGTAATTTAGTTTGCCTGCATTGAAAGAGCCTTTTTCTCCAGTAAAATGTGGCACAGCTTGCTGCAAAGCAGGAGATGTTATTACAAATAAGGTTTTAAGCAATCTATGCTCTACAAGCACCAGCTGGCAGAGTCCAAGCAATTTTCCTGCAGGATCACACAAACCAAGGGGTTTTCAAAAAGTCTGTGGTAAAATGGAATTTCCCCACAATCTTTTTGAAGGCCCCTCAACAGTGTGCTGGAAAAGGGGTTGTTGCACAAGGTTGCATTCACTTTACTAAATCAAATTACTGTATTCACTTGCAATTTACATGACTTCATACTCTATAATAATCTCAGGACCACAGTCTAGTTTCCAACCTCCTCATTCACAATTTACAAAGATGCCAGACTGAGAACAGGACAATCAGTCCTACTTTCTTATGTTTTGCTGTTTGTTGTTAGGTACTCTTGAGTTGATTTGGACTCATAGCGACCCTGTACATAGTTTCAGAGGAATAGCTACAGGGTTGGAACCGCCGAACTTGTGGTTCGCAGGACAGTACTTATTCGACAGAGCCACACCAGAATCCATTTAGGCTTAAAGGTAAAGGCTGCCAAGGGTCCAGCAAAATGGAATCAAAAGTGGAAAAAATAAATAAATAAAAAATACCACCATGATAAGGTAGGTATGAAGCATGAGCACTTCTACCATCAACGTTAACTTCACTTTCTAACTGAAGTGACAACACGGGGCAAGAGCTCCATCTGAAGTCTGCTGAGGCATCTAGTGACCCTTACCTCTAGAGCAGTGATTCTGCCTATGATCTCAGAAATTGCTGTATTGAGCAAAGTCCCCATAGCCTTGCAATATATATTCACTGGCAGGACATCCTGCCACACAGTTCCAAGTCTCTTTAGTTGGTGCAGTACCTGTCAGAAGAATGGAGATATTTACGTGGGGAAGAGACTGCTGTTACTTGTATATTCAAGATTTACATTTATCATTTGCTTGTGTATTACAGAAAAAGCTGTTATGTAACCTAAAGCACGTCATCAGTATTACCACATTTTTACGCAAATAACACATAAATGTTTGAAGAGGGGGCTTCAAGTTCATGGAAAAATGAAACTGAAAGATAACGGAATTCTCTGTAACAATCTGAAGTACCCTGCAATGCAGTGAGCTTACTTCCTATGTCTCCTCTAGCCATAGTGTTTGTAAGTCCCACCAAACTCCTTTTTCCCTAACGCGTCTGGGTAATAAAAGGTGGGAGGAGATACTGATGGCATGACATGATTCAGCTGTGGATGCTAACAGAGTTCACTGCAATTGTAAACACTTACAGCTCTTGCACGGATATAAAATGAGCCATCTCAGAAACAGGAGGGAATCTCACTACCATCAAAGAGCATGTCCTTTGGACCTTAAGATCCCTGCACATAGAACCTCCTCGACCCAGGGACCGAGCGCTGTAACAGAGGAGAACCAAAAGCCAGAGCACAAGACAGAGCAGTGGCTTCCTAGTCTATGGAGCAAATACAGCTGAGTGACGACTTTGGGCAGCAGGCTTGCTTGCAGAGTGGGGTGACTTCAGGCACTTGATTTGGGGAGCTGACTCACTGACCTAGAGCCAAGTGCCTTCAGGCTGAGGCTTCTGATGGAGTCCTGTGGGCATTCAGCAGCAGCCTTAAAAGAACTGTGTAGCAGTAGCCGAGCAGAGAGAGGCCTGCCTGGAGCACAGCTGAGGAGAGACTGTCCCGACTGGAACAACTGGTCCCTGAGCCTTTCTGACCCTGAATTGTAACCTGTTACCTTCCCTAATAAAGCCCATTAACTGTGAGTATGGTGTCTGAGTTCTGTGTGATCACTGCAACAGATTATCCAAACCAGCTGAGTAGAGTGTTGGGAAAAGGGTGGTGGGTGTCTATTTTCGTGCCCCCCTGGTATCATACAGTTTTCTGCAGACATTCCGTCCCTTTGCACTAGGTCCCTATGAGCACTAAATGTGCTATGTACATCTGCACATTTTTTACATGTGCACATTATATGTAGAACAATGTGGCATATGTTTCTTGAATATCTAATCTTAGTGATATCCCTGCTAGCTGAAAAGTAGACTCATCCTGCAGATAAGAAACTACAATGAAAAGATAATGTACTTAAAAGAGAGGCATTTTCAGAATTCCCAAATCCAAATTCAAGAGTAAATTATTTGCTATGACAAACTAGCTAACTAGTCACACTACTGGGGAGATGGAAAAATCGCTTCTGTTACACTGTTAACTGATGATATATGGAGGGGATAATAATCAATGTAATGAAACAAGCTATATGAATGGTTGAATGTGAAGCTGATGATGTGCCCTGTAAACTTTCACTCAATCCAAAATAAAAAATAAAAAATCGCTTCTGTTAACTTGGTGGGCAGGGGAAAAGAACCATCTCTCACATGACTGTAGAAGGAACCAGATTTCCAATGGGGGCAGTAAATCAACTGAGCTACTTTTTTTTTACATATTCTTTGCTGCTTAAAAAAAAACAAAACCAACAACAATAAAAAGGAAGAAAGGGCATCTGAGGATACAGTTTAAAATTCCAGAACTAGCAATAGCCTCCCACCTGCCGGATTGCTTTGCTTGCTGCAGAATAATTCTCTTCGTCGTCCATGTTTAAAAAATTCCTAGCACTTGATAATCTTTCCAGAAGCTCTCCTTTCTGTGCTCGCATTTGAGCCAAAAAACATTCTGTCCCTATGATAGGAAAACATAATAAAGAATTCTAAAAGCTGTTCAATTACACATTTCAAAACTAGAGTTGAAGAGGAGAGACAAGCATGAGCCATGGATCTGTTCAATTTAAAAACAATTGCTAGACAGCATCATAAAGCTGCTTTTAGGAAACAATCCTTTCTTAATCAATTAGCCAGCCTCGCCAACTCCAACCTTAGGAGAAGTAACTATTACCCAGAGTTAGAGTTAACTATGAAAAATCATTTATAAATAAGAAAAGAACTATTAATTCTGATAAATCTGTACCACCGAAGGGAAAAGTGAAGAATTGTAAAGCTAAGTGAACCATATAGATTCTCTGCTTTTCTTGGATAATCATTATAGTAAATACATTGATTTCATTTCATTTCTTTTTTCACTAATCCCAAGTGAAGCTGAGGAGGGTCTGTTGTCTTGGGTTTTTGATTGACATTACTGTTAACAGAACTAGCACAATACAAATCTCACTATACGTTACTCACTCAACTGAAGTCTGATCTGGTGACTGCACTGTACACCAGCAACAAATATGAAACTCTAATGTCCCATGAACAAGGTCACGAAAGAGAATGCTTCCATCAAGACTGCATTCCCATTATGAAATTAACTAACGGGGGATATTTATAACACAAATGCCCTCCCACTGGCCAGTTTCTAACCTCCTCATTCATAAATGACAGCAACACTGCTAAGAGTAGTATAATCAACATCTTTCCCTAAAAGTACCCATTACCGAGTCTCCTGAAGCCAGGTACAAGATCCACAAAAGTAGTAGTGCCATCACAAAGAATGGGAGCAAGACGGAAGGCGAACTGATGCCCAAGGGTCAGCAAGTGGTGAGCAATATACATACAATTGTTGTGGTGAATGGCTGCCAACTGCGGCAGTTTTTGAAGGTTCTCCCTAAGTTAGAAGGGTGGGTAGGAAAAGAAAGGAAAGAAGTTACCTGTTATTGAAGTTAGGACTGATGAAAATTTACTACCCCTCTAATGTGTTTTCTAGGCTTTATTATATACTGTACAAATGCTCTACTTAACAATAAAAAAAAATCTTACTTCTATTCCCAGAGTGAGCCTCTCCTGCCAGAATATAGCCTTACCTTATAAAACTATCCCAGTGATTAGCAAATAAAGAGTAAGGAACTGCAAGGTCAGTTTGTACTTCAAGGTCAACAGTTCAAACCCACCAGCTGCTCCTCAGAAACCCTAGCCAGGGTCGCTATGAGTCGGAATCGACTTGATGACAGTTAACAACAACAACAACAACAAAGGGAATGAAGATATTTACCTGGGTCATCTTTTTATACTGCAAACCTAGCATCGTAGCTGTGTATAAATACGCCTTTAAAATTGAACACTAGTAAGTCTGTAGAAATACATATTTACTTCCCCTTTCTCCAAATTCCTGTCTCACTTATATTATGAATCACAATTTCGTATTTACTAGTTAGTGTTTTCAATACTGGCTACATATCAGAGTCACCTGGGCGATTTAAAAATACACAGACGTTTGTGCTTAACCCTCAAAAAATTAAATCACAACCTCTGGAGTAAAGTCAGGTCACTTAACGTGTTTTTTCAAATCATCCCAGGTATTTTTGATTTATATCCAGGATTCAAAATCAAGGCGCTAATCCTTCTACACATACTATTAGTCTATGGAGCCAGCTTTGGAAGAGATCTTGTCTTCTATTTCTGTTATCTATCCACTAACAGGCAATCAATACTTTCCAGTATTAGCCTAGGACACACCACTTCCAAACCAGCAGTTGTTCTCACTCTTGGCTACACATCAGAAGCATTTGTAGAGCTCTAAGAAAACACTGATGTCTGGTATCTGTGGAAGCAGACTCCTACACTAAAATCTCCAGAGCTGGGGTCTAGACAAAGTTAATATGTTTTAAAATCCCCATAAATAATTCTAATAGACTTCCAAAGCTAAAAACCATAATCCAGGGCAATGTCTCTCAAAGTGGAGTCTCCTGACAAAGGATAGCAATGTCACCCAGAAACTTGGTAAAATTACAGGCTTCATCCCAGAGCTCCTGAATTAGAAACTTTGGGTACAGGGCCCAGGAATCTATGATTTAATAAGACTTTCAGACAATCCTGACGGGTACTAACGTGTGAGAATCCCTGGCCCAGGATTTAGTTCAAAGGTCACACAAAGTGGAAAGAGTGAAAAATGTCTCGAAGCCACAATAGCTCCTGAGTCAAATATCTCTGAATCCCCAAGGACACAGCGGTCAGCTGACCCAAATTATGTTATTCTCGTCTCCTTTACTTGATTTACATAGATGTGAAATAGGAAATTTATACTACAGCTAACAAAATACAAATAAAAATATTAAGCTTCACAATAAACAAGCTCTCTTTTATAACAGAAACAGGCGGACCTAGCTCAAACATCTCAATTGCTCACAAATCTAAGCTAAAATATATATACTTCAAATAATAAACTGCTTTTTTTTTTTTACTTTGCGAGCACAGTGTGTGGCAATGAGATACCTTTGTTGACATATCATTACAACATTTATAAAAAGCATCCAAAGCACTTAAATTCAGATGACAGAGCTCCTGGAGGCTTACAGTTCAAATAGCTATTCAGACTAAAAGAAATTTAAATCCAAGACACGAGGTAAATGCAGCCCAGGAGAGCTAGGAGAGTGGCCAATCACGCTGGACAGTTTAGTGGCGATCTCTTGTGGTACTGAGGCTGTAGAACTGTGGATGCTGAAGAAAGCGGCCGTGGGTTCACCAACTAACACTATGGAGGGAGCCTGTTTGTTTTCCCACCAAGTGAGGCAGTTCTTTTGAGTTTTCAAATTTCTTTTACCCTATATTGCAAGATCGTAGCAGTCATATTAATTTATTTAAGAATTATAATGTTCTTTACACATGTGCTTTAAAAAATGGCTTACTGCATTATATTGTGAATTTTCATAAGCATAATAACTTTGGTGAGGATATATAATTAAATTACTGATTTAAACCTGACTACAAACATTTTGGACATATGGTTAGTATGCAGAACTGAGATACAGCGGCACTTACTTGTGGTATGTTGGTACAACATCATGGAACAAATGGAAGATATTCCTGACTGAGTAAAAAAGCTGAACAGCACTAAGAAGAAAACAGATTTAACAGAAATGTGTCAGAATACATTGAAAATGAGGGTAAAAAAATTCAAACTCAGTGCACCATTAGACTTAAAATCCAGTTGCAGAGAGCAGTTGCCCTGGTTGATGCTGGAAAACACAGTTAATCTAGGTGGAAATAGATTCTCAACCAGTGTTTACTAACAATAATACCCTTCTGAAAACCAAGGTCCATCAATAATTTGACAAAAAGCAGCACTCAACCCAAAGCCTTTTTTCTGATTTATCGACGTATGTTCCACCAGTACCCAAAAGATCCTTTTAGTAACAAATGGAGCTAAGCCTCAAGCAAATGCCACCTACTCACTGACGCGCTTTGCAAAGGGCAAAGCATCAATAAAGGCATTCACTTGGCTCCTTTAGGATCAGTCTGACTTTCAGTGTTCACCTTTTCTCCTTCTTACCCCAATGCAAGGACATGAATCAACATTTCTATGCTAGAATCTAGCCCTGAAGTTTTTTTGCCCTTTAAATCTGGCTTTAGAACACTTAAAAAGATTATATGTTATTAAAATACACTTAAAAAAGCAAATATAAGGCTAGTATAACTTACCTCTGTGTAAAAATATCTTAAACTAGGTACCTTGTACAATTCACAGGAATTCCACAAATATTTAGAAAAACAAGTCATAGTTATTATACCCCTAAACACTGTTATTACTTGATCACTGTGATCCCTGATCATTTCATTCCATTTTTGCTATTTATATAAAATAAAATGGTTGCTATTTACGGTTTGATAACAGAGAAGATGGTAACACAGTTGCACTTTTGTTTGTCCTATTCGAAACTATTTCCTTTAGTATAAAGAATCACCGTAGCATCAACTTACAAAAATACTGTTTGGAATTCTATGTTCTCAAAATTTTTTATAATACTGCCCTATATTTCTAAATTCCAGCCAGAATAGTCTGACTTATTTTGGAAGCATGCCCAGTAAAGAAATACTCCAATATGGGGGCTTCAGAAAGTTCATGGAAAACATCATTATTTTTTTATTCCATTTTCTGAATAAATTTTCGAAGCTCCTGCATATATTTATTTGGCCAAAGAAGTATGCACTTATTTTGATATGCATATATGAATATTTTGATATTCCTACTGATAATTAAAACTGGATAGAGTTCTACATATAATGATTAATGCCACATAAGTATCTGGTAGACATGTGCTTTCTAGAGCAGAATATAATTAAGGAGTTTGTTTGCATGCAGCAATAAGCACTGGACTGCTAACTGAAAGGTTGGTAGTTCAAACCCATCAGTTGCTCCTTAGAAACCCCAACAGGGTCACTATGAAAGGGAATAAACTCAACAGAACCTAACAACAACATAAAGAGAAGAACCCTGCTACACAGAGTTGAAAACTAAACAGGTATAGATGTAAACATGCTCTACAGCTAGCTTGAGCCACAGGCTGTCATCTTCTTCTCACATCAGTCTGGGAGTAGGGAAGTCACTTATGAAACAAAAACAGACTCACTAGTACACATAGAGTACAGTTTATGGTATCTAAATACAAGGTGCATTCGAAGAAATCATCTTGAAAGCGTAAGGCTAGAACTGTGGTGTGTTCTAGTCTTTTCCTCCTACCTTTGGCTGTCCAACAAACTACTGCTGTTCTAAAAAACAAACATTAAAAATGTAAATTAATTAGAACCCGGATTTCAAAATGTTAAGAATACTAGACTGAGGAGCCAGGACAGATTGATGCAAATGCTCCAGCTACTAATACTACCAACAATCATAGCAAACGTTTGAGTTATTAGTCAATTTTCAGGTAGGACTCTAAGTACTCTGCATGTGCTTTCTCATGTTTTGTTGTTAAGTGCCCTTGAGTCAGTTCTGACTCATAAGAGACCCTGTGTAGGGTTTCCAAGGAGCAGCCGGTGGATTTGAACCACCAACCTTGCAGTCCAAACTGACCTTATGGTCCAGTGCTTATCCTACAGTGCCACACCAGGACACCAGAAATAAAAATTACTTATGTAATATCATTCAATTCAAATAAAAAGTAAAAATTAAACAGAAATTAAAGAGATTTTAGCAAAAATGATTAATAACCATTTTTAATGTAAAAGAAGCCCATCTGTCCTTCCATGTATGTGCTTCTATTTCTCAAACTCTGCTCTACCTTATATGTGTTATTATAAATAAAAGCTAGAGATCAATATAAGTTTGTATGCTATACTATGTTCTTTATGGGAGAAAATAAAAACAAGTAACGGGATACAAAAACTCAAAGAATTCCAGTTAGTTTTCTTGCTACTAAAAGTCTTAGATATGCATGTAACAAAGTCACTGCCATTTTCATAGCATTAAGAATTCATACCATTGATCACTGCCGGTGGTTGCTTCTAATAAAGTCTGATAGGCAAGTTCCATTAGTTGTTTCACAGATTCACTGATGCGGCATGTTGGCAAAGAGAAGGAATGTTGGTCTAGGGTATTTTCAGGCTCTAGATTCCCCACCTCATCACAATGCGCTTTGGCCACTTTCTGTACGACCAGCTTGTCATCCTTCTCTGGACTGGGGAAGTCTGGCACACTGATCTTAGACTCAGGAGTAATCTAAGATTCAAACACAGAAAATGCAAAGTCTTCAGAAAAATTCAAATGCACACAGACAGGAATAAGATATTAGCTATTTCCATGAAGATTCTACAGAATAATTTAAAGTCTGAATAACTACGGTAATATTTTAATGACTGGTTAATTTGGGGCAGAAGTAGAAGAAATAAAGAATCCCCCTTTACTGAGCAATTCTTCAAATCTCTCTGAATCTTCATTGTAATAACAAAGCTGTGACACTGGCCCAAGAGTTCAGGTAAATAAAAGGACCTTCAAAAAATGCCTTTTCTGAGACTCAACTATTAGATTATTACGAACTAAAAGAAAACTTCACTGCTCTCAAGTCAATTCCAGCTCACAGCAACCCTTTCGGACAGAGGAGATCTCCTCCACTGCGTTTCTGAATCTGTAAATCTCTACAGAGGCAGACAGCTTCATCTTTCTCCTGGGGAGCAGCTGACAGATGCAAACCCTTTTGGTTAGCAGCTCAGTCTGATTTTGTGTTTCACTGTCTATATTATTAAGCAAATTATTTCTCACCAGGCATAAGTTAGCTGACTCTAAGAAAGAACTCACTCAGTTAAAGAAAAAACTCATTCCTTTCCTTTAAAAAAAAAAGGAATCCCTCCCTAAAATGTAAAATGGGTTATGAGTTGGGCGGCTAACGGCAAAGTCAGCAGTCCGAGCTTTTGACTCCTGTAGAGAGTTACAGCCTCAGAAACCCTGTACAGGGCCACTTTAAATCGGAACCAAATCACCACACTTAACAACAAAATGTACACAAAACAAAGATTCTCAGATTCAGCAGGAGTAAATGAGAAAGCACTAAACTGCAAGACAGAAAACATGAGTGATATTTTTTTATCCTTTTAAAAAACTCATTTAACCTCTTTGGACGGCAATTTTCTCACCGACAAAAGAATAGCACAGCAATATTTCTCAAATCTTGTTTCTCAAAGATGCCTCAGGAGTTAAGAAAAAGAGATCAAGCAAGTAGGGCAGCAGGTTCTCCACACCCACTGCAGAAGAGCAGCTCTGTTCAGCACACACTGTAGCCCAACAGAAAATGTATGATTAAAAAATTTCCAAGTCTAATAAAAATGCGTAAGTCACCAGACTTGGCTTCCCAGTCACTACTGTTGTTGTTATTAAGTGCTGTTGAGTCGATTCCAACTCATAAACCCAGAACAGTTCCTTATACAGCTCCTTTCTCCAGCAGCTGGCTGGCAAGTTGGAACCACCAACCATTGGGTTCAAACTGACCTTTTGGTCCAGTGTTTAACCTATAGTGTAGTGCCACACCAAGATGGTATAATATCAATTCCATAGGGCTATTACGAAGATTAAATGAGAATAAAAGTTTCAGGCCCCTGGTAGTCAATATTACAGCTAAGATTATAATGCTGATGAAAAAACAGAATTATAGGGATGATTTGGAAAAAAATGTTTGTCTGAAAAAGCCTCAAAAAAATTACTTCATGAAGGAATAGAAGATAGAAGAATGTAGGACCAAAAAATGGTACATGTCAGGTCAAAAAATAAAAATGGTACACGTCAGGTCAAAAAATTAAAATGGTACATGTCAGGTCAAAATATAAAAATGGTACATGTCAGGTCAAAAAATAAAAATGGTACATGTCAGGTCAAAAAATAAAAATGGTACATGTCAGGTCAAAATATAAAAAGAAAACAAACAGCGACACCAAAAATACAACACTTCAGATCTTTTGGAAAAATAATGCGTACAGGGGAGAAGACTGAAATGAAGACCAATGAAAAGCAATCAATTTGAAAATGCTTTTGAGGGGACAAAAGAAAAAAAAAAAACTGTTTCAAACTTGGGCTGTTTAGATCTAATGAAGCCACTCATCTGCTACCATTAGGCGGGCAGTTTGAGTCCACACAGAGGTCCTTTAGAAGGAAAGGCTGGTGGTCTACTTCTGAAAACTATCAGTCGCTGAAAACCCCATGAAGCAGTTCTACTCTGATCTATACGCAACTGCCAGGATTCAGGGTAGACGCAATGGCAACTGTTTTTGGTTTTGTTTTATTTTTAAGTCTAGGACCTAAGTGCCAAGAAAAAGAACCAGATGAAAATCTAGAGCAGTGGTTCCCAACCAGGGGCACTTAGGGCCTCATGCTTGGTAAAGCAGAGGGTCAGCAGAGGGTCAGTGACAAAGAGGAAGACCCTCAACAAGACAGACTGACACAGTGGTTGCAACAGTGGACTTACCCACAGCAACAATTGTAAGGATGCCACAGGATCAGGCAGTGTTTCATTCTGCTGTACCTGGGTCACAGTGGGTCAGAATTTACCTGACAGAACCTAACAACAACAATGGGGGCCTTTGACGATATCTGGGAAATTTCTGATGGTCGTAACTGGGAGAGGTGCTACTGGCATCTAGTGAATAGAGGTCAGGGATGCTGCTAAACATCCTAAAGGACAGTTCCCCCAATCCCCAGCAAAGATTTATCTAGCCTAAAATTTCAACAGTGTAGTCGGGAAACTCTGATCTAGAGAAAGCTCCATTATTAGGATTTGGGTTCCTAGGAGAAATGCAGTTTTATAGAATGTCAGAATCGCTTGAGTACAGAGCTCAGAGATTATCTAGTTCAATTCTCTCATGTTCCAGAAAAGAAAAATGAAGTCCAGAAAGGTTACACGATTCAGCTCAGAATCATGGAGCAACCCAGTAACAACCCCATTTACTTGAAGGAGTTGTGACAGAGGTAAGTTGAGATACATATTAATACGTCTAACAAACAATTAGTAAGCACCTGCGGCACCGGGTACAAAGAGTACACACCAGGGTCTTCCTTGATACTGGAGATACAATAGAAAAAAAATAGGCAAAACTCCTTGACCTCATGGGATTTACTTTCTAGAGAGGGAGAAGCAATTATGTAAATAATTCATATGGAAGAAAGATTGATGATCAGTGAAAAATATGAAGAAAAAGAAATCTAGGGCAGTGGGGACAGGAAGTAGATGGAATTCACAATTTAAAGACTGGCCTGGAAGGAAAGCAAGTCACGTGGCTATCTGTTTCACCACTGTTCCAAGCAGAAGGATCAAGAGGTTCAAAAGTTCTATACACAAGTGGGCTTAGAAAAATCAGGGAACAGCAGTGAATCCAAGGTGACTGGAGCAGAGCAAATGAAGAAGAATGCAGGAGACGGAGTGAGACAGGCAATGGGGAGTCACATCAGATAAAGCCCTGTACAGGGCACTGTAAAACGTTGGGGTTTTTTCTATATGGGAATGGGCACAATAAAAGCTTGAAAACGAAGAAGTAAATTAGTGGTTGCTGGGAATGAGGGGTGAGGGAAAGGATGAATGCCTGCTAATGAGAACAGGTTTCTGGGGGATTGGGTGCCAAAACTACTCTAAGATTGATCATGGTAATGACTGCATAACTCAGTGATTACACTACAAACTAGTGACTTGTACATTTTAAAGAGGTGAAGTGCTTGGTATATGAACTTTATTTCACCAAAGCTGTTAGAAAAAGAAAAAAAAAAAAGGGAACGGAAACTAGATTCTGAATAAAGGAGTAAACATCAAATAATATTTGTGTTAAAAAAAAAAGCACACAGAAAAACCCAGAACAGTTCCTTGTACAAAGAAGATTTCAGTTCTCTTGGTGTGCTGTGGATTACAACTCATAGTGACCCTGCATAGGGTATATCCAAGGTTCTCTTAGAAATCCACGCTTTCCTCAAAATGTGTTAATATCTACATACTTCAAATGGCTAATTAAATATTTTGCTGAAGTGGACACTGTAACACGGTACGCCAAAGGAAAATGGGGAACAACAGAGGAAGGGACTACGGGAGGCATAGTCTGATTCCTTCATTAGGATTAACTAATAGCTCAGGAACCTTCTATTAAGGAACTGCTTTAGACTATGTTTTGCTTTCATCTAAATAATACCTTGTATTTCCAAACTTTTATACATTTGTAATATTTTTTAATATATGAATAGGATTATCTAAGGTCAAAGGAGTAAATTATCATCAATGAAAATTAGTTTGTTCACCACCTTTGCAGCAGGTACTTTATATCCTAAATAAACTGCATCCTGTGTTTTACTTATTTTATCATTTAACTTCAAAACTAGTTCCTATGTAAGCCTATGAGATGAAGTAGCTATTTTCACACTAGAGTATAATCTCTGGACTTGGTATAAAACCTAAGTTGTTGTTGTTGTTGTTGTTAAGTGCCATCGAGTCGGGTCCGACCCATAGCGTAGATGTCACAAAATCTGTATACTGAAAACTCGAGTAGTAAAACTGAGGACACCCTGCAGAGCTATACACTGTCCAGTTTCAACAAGAGTGAGTCATTACATTGACACAGACTTTTTCTATTTACCTAATGCTTAATATACAGTATCTTATCTAGACCTCACAATATCCCTGTAAAAGAAGTCGGTAGTAGGATCACTTTAAAGGTAGAAAATAAGGGTTCAGAAGATTTATAACTGGCCTCAGTGAATTGTCCTATTCTCTTCCATTCTACTACGAGTCAAAAATGAACTGCTTAAGTACAATGCAATAAACTGTAAGCCTGGTACCTTCACAGTATTGTGAATTTCAGAGGTCATTAGGTTTCTGGCTGCCACAATCACATCCTGGCACTTCTTATTAGCAAAATGAGAATTGATGTTGCGAGCATATTTCAGCAAATCAGTAGTGTCTCCTTTTAAAAACCTCATTTCCTTTAGGGCATTTTCAAACTCTTCAGTGGATTGTATGATCTGAGAGAGAAACACGAGAAAATTAATTCATAATCACATATACATATTCCATTTTAATGGTAAGATTTCAAATCTAATGTACAAAAAAGACAAAGCACCTATTGGTCATTTAACTTTTAGGACAGACCATCAATTACTAGGTATAAAAATACTCATTTTTCCAGTCTTAAATTCACTAGGAATACTATCTTCAATAGAAATTTGACTCTACTTAGTAAAGGTGCCAAGATCTTTAAAATAAGTATACTTCTTGTAGCACTCTAGAAAAATCTTAAAAGATGAAAAAAAAAAGCAACGTGTTACACAGGAGCTACTATAGATGGTACAGGTATAAAGGAGCAGTTGTTTTTTCAAAAGAATCCTACTAAAGAAAACATACTCAGGAATAAATTTCAATTCCCCAAAGAGGCAGGAAGCCAGGAGAGGAACGAAGTTATAGAGAATTTTCCTCCACTCCCTACTCATAATTTTCTTGAAGATTTAACTAAAGAACAAACCATTTCAAGGAAAAACAAAAGACATTAAGTAGGAACCTAGTCTTTTAAAAATTTTGCGATGCCTCTGTTCTCACCTCTTCATACTGCTGCAACTTGCTGCTATTTGTTGGGATAGAATAAACCAGACAGTTTTTGATGAGGCACTCAGACAAGTCCTCCCAGATCGTGTCACCAAGCATCTCGGACAAGACGATCATTGATGGTTTTTCCTTTTCTCCATCAGCCTCAAGAGGCAACTCTGAATTCAAAAGAAAAAGTTTCAGACAAGAAACCATTAACAAGTCGTTATGTATTCTTCAGTTTTCTAGCTTCCTCAAATTCTTTAAGACGATGAGAAAAGAAAACAGCACAGATCCTTCTACAGCCATCTCAACTGACTGTGTGGGACAAAACATGACACACAATTATTATTAATTTATTTTTACTGTATGACTCTCTCTGAAACAATACGACATTACACCATCTACGTCATAATCATCTACTGACAAGGACTCAAAGTTCTGCATTCCAAATTGAAACTTGTTTAGAATTAAGATTCCAGCTCTTTAATAATGAATATAATTTTTTTCATCTCTGAACAGAGTCTAAGTATTTATCCTAAGTAAAAGGTACGCCTTTCACAAAAGTGTAATATTTAATCTACCAAACAATACTTCAATACCTTTTCTACAGCATATCTTATGGTGGTTACGTCTAACACTTTGTGTAGTTCATATTTAGAATGGAGTCCCTTAATAGCACAAATGGTTAAGTACTTAGCTATTAGCTGACAGGCTGGCAGTTCACACACACCAGAAGACACCTACGAAGAAAGGTCTGGCAAACTATTTTTACAAGATCACCACCATTGGAATTCCCATGGAGTACAGCTCTACTCTGATACACATGGGCTCACCATGAATTGAAATCAATGCAAGAATAACTGGTTTTATATACAGATATAGAAATGTACATACATATGTATATAGAGAAAGAGAGAGATAAAGTCATACTTTGTTTCACTGAGCTTTGCTTTATTGAGCTTTACAGACATTGCCTTTTTTATAAATTGAGTCTTTGTGGCAACCCCTTCATCAAGTAAATCTACTGGCACCAATTTTCCAAAAGCATGTGCTCACTTCATATCTCTGAGTCACATTTTGGTAATTCTCAAAAATTTTTTAATTTTTTTCATGATGCTATTATATATTTAATAGATAAAGTAACACATAAACATAATTTTTATATGAACTGTTGCTGTTGTGAAGTGCCGACTCATCAATATTTAAGTACTACTTAGTGGCCAAATTAGGAAGAGGAGGAACTATTTTGAATCTAGTTCTTATTCACCAAGGAAGGCCTCAGGGAATGGGAACCTTGGAAGAGACATTAGCGCGCAAGAGCCTGAGAAAGCTCATAGGATCTAAAGCTTAAACCTCACTGCCCAACATGCGGTCATTGGCAACATCGAGCGCTTGAAATGTGGCTAACAGGATCGAAAAGCTTATTTAAAAAAAAAACTGAAGTGTAAACTTAGGTTTAAAGTTTAAACTTGAGTGTACAGTTTAAATATGTGTGGCTATACGGGGGTAGCGCAGGATCTTTGTGCTAATGGAATTGTTCTGTATTATCGACTGTGGTAGCGGTTACATGGAACTACCCATGTAACAAAATTACACAGCACTTTAGGACCACTGTCAGTCAGAAGCAGCTGAACAGCAGTGGGTGTGGCTTGTGGGTCTCCAAATTGTCAGCTCCTACCTGGTGTGGTGCTGTGGGTTAATGCGCCAGACTGCAAAATTGTTTGAATCGCAAGGTCAGCGGTTCAAGCTCACCAGTCGCTCCTTGGAAACACTATACAGGGTCGCTATGGGTTGGAATGGACTCGACAGCACATAAAAACTACACACACATGAATTCTTGGTGTGGTGCTGTAGGATAATACACTGGACCATACGGTCAGTTTGAACCACAAGGTCAATGGTTCAAACTCACCAGTCCATGGAATATCTATACAGGGGCACTATGGGTTGGAACCGACGCAGCAACACTTAACAACAACTATAACTGACATCACAATGCATATATTAAAGACAAAAAAATCACTGCCATTGAGTTCATATATAGGGTTTCCAAGGCTGTAAATCTTATCTATCTGCTGCAGAGAGCAGCGATGGGTTTGAATTGCCAACCTTACAGCTAGCAGCCCAAAGCCTAACCCAAGGTACCACAATGCATGTGATGGTGGTGGTGTACTGTGGAGTCGGTCCCGACTCGTAGCGACCCTGTACAGGGTTTCTGAGGTATGGTGGTGATGTACCGTGGAGTCGGT